GCGGATCGGCCCGGGGCGCTCTCCCACGGCTTCCCGGCTCCACCTCCAGCCAGTGCAGGCGGCGCTCGCGCTCGCGTCGGACGCGCTCGGAGGCCGGGCACATGTCCGGGCACAGGCCCCTTGGCAGCTCGCAGCCAGACATGGCAGGGCTGTGGGGAGACGACGCACGCTCAGCATCTCAGGGCCGGCGGACGCAGGGCGCGGCATGCTGCCGTGGGCTTAGGGAACACGCGCCGGGCAAAGTGGGGCTGGCCCGTCCCCGCTCACCCAAGTTTACCGGGCCCGGCAGCGGACGAACTCTCCCGCTTCGGCGGGCTTCAGTAATGCTTCCCATAATCCACCGCGCCTGGCCTCCGCATTTCCCCCTACTCCCCCTTAAACCGTCCCATGATGCACCAGTTTGTAGTCCAGTGATGAGGCCATACCTCCTCAGATGTGCAATTCAGTGAACTTCAGCTTTTGGGACTTGTGGCACTTGAAATAGGTAACCCTGCTTTGCGTATCTCTCCATTATCTCTTTAACACACCAATCTAGTGCCGTGGGCCTGTCATTGTTTATTGTTTCCCTGGAGATAGCCTCGCTAAGCGTTTTGTTTTATTCTGAGACTGGATCTCACTTTGTAGCCCTGGCTGACTGACTTTGATTGAATTCAAAAGAGATCTGCCTGACCCTGCTTTCTGAGTACCGGGATTAAAGGCGTGGACCACAACACTCAGACATGATTTGCTAGACACAATTTACTCAACTCAGTTGGTACAATGTAAACTCAACCATAGACAGTATAAGCAAACGGACCTGGCTATGTTCTGACTAGTTTTTATTCACACACATTTAAGTTTTATAAATTGGTCAAAGAATCCTTTTCCTTCCAACCAACAATTAACAAAACAAAAAACAAAACAAAAAAAGGAAAAACCCTTGTAGCTTGACAGCCTTACAAAAAAAGGCAGTGGGTCAGGTCTGGTGCAGACTACAGGCTGCAGACCCTGGCTCTAGGCGGGTGAACTGACTGACAGATTTGTAGCCCAGATGCCACTCACATAAATCTGAGACAGGCGGGACCAGAAGTTCAAGTCTGATTCCAAGGAGGCAGGCAGGTCAGAGCTGAGAAGTCTTTGCTTTTCTCATACTTGATCCAGTTAATACCGATAAGGTCCCTGGGTTACAAGAGCAGGGGAAACAAGACCGGGTCCCAAGGAAAGGAGCAGAGGAGGCTGGCAGTGCTGGAGCTGACATTCCAGGAAGGGTCCCCCTCAAGGCAAGTGCGCTTGGAGGGTCTCTGCCCGTCTCAGGTACTCAGCTGCCTTCTTCTTCACACCTTCCCGGCGGGCAGGGGACGGGTCACCTGGAGAGCAGAAGGCCCAGTCCCTTTAGGATCCCTGGCCAGAATGTGCCTTCCCCTGCCCTGGGTCTTTCCCATTTTATGAGGCTATTAAAAAGGGAAAGAAAATTCTGCCCAAGGTCTCTGTGAGAAATGAAGGCTCCTGGACCTTCTTTGTTTCCTTAAAATACTTTGTATATGTGTGAGGTCAGTGGTCAACCTCAGATGTAGGTCTCCTTCCATCAAGTCTGTTCTCTGCTGCACACGCCCGGCTCACCACCCCTGTTTCTGTCTTTGCCCTCCACCTTGCCATAGGAACACTTGGTCCCTGAGTGTCCTGTCACATGCCTCTGTGTGGGCGCTCTAATTCAGTCCCTCATGCCGGCACGACAAGCACTCTACCCACTGTGCCATCTTCCCAACCGTCCCCGTCTTCCTTACTGCCATACTCACCCGAGACGCCCTGGAGCAGAATGTGCACCCCGTCTTGGTAGTCTTGGAGTGCAGCGGCATAGGCGCCAGCCTTCTCTTTCCGCAGGGCTTGAGTGATGAGCTCTGTGGCCTGGCTCAGATAAGCTGGGGCAGGTTCTCCATCTTCAGCATCTTCCTTCTCCTGTCCTCCTGGCTCCCAGGGTTCCTGGTCCAGCCTTTTGGACTGTACCTCCATGGCTGCTAGCTCACTGGTGTGGGTGGGGCTGGTGCCTGTACTTTCTATAATAAAACAGGAAGGATTGAAGCCAGACTGGCCTTTCCCAGGGTACAGTCCAAGCTTATTTTGTTCCTTAGTTTACCAAACTGTTCCTACTGGAGGGGACCAGAGCCTGGAAATACAGAATTCACTTGAGTAGAGCAAACCAGTTGTGTTGTGTTTGCTTGATCTGGCTGAGGAGCTTTTTGAAAGACTTGGTTTATCATTGCTGTTGCACCCACGAGCAAGCGCAGGCATGGGTGTGCTGTGGCACCCGTGTAGAGGCCAGGAGACAAGTTTTGGGAGGGTTTTTTTATTTCACCCTAGGTGGATTCTGGGGATGGAACTCAGGTTGCCAGGCTCACGAGATAAGTGCTCTCAACCCCTGAGTCATCTTACTGACCCATGGCCTTGAGCTCCAGGTCTCTCTGCCTCTGCCTGTCTAGTGCTGGGATACAGCCATGTGCCACTTCACCGTTTTGTTTGTTTTATTAAAGACAGGGTCTCACTATGTGGGCCTGGCTTTTCTGTAATTTGCTATATAGACTAAGCTGATCTTGAATTCACATATCTGCCTGTCTTTAACTCCCTGAATGCTGGGATCAAAGGTGTGTGCCACCATAGCCAGCTTTTTCATTGAAAAAAAGTATTACATGGTGCTGGAGAGATAACTCAACAGTTAAGAGCACAGGCTGTTCTTCCAGAGGTCCTGAGTTTAATTCCCAGCAACCACATGGTGGCTCACAACCACCTATAATGGGATCTGGTCTCTTCTGGCATAAAGTCGATAGAACACTCACATGCATAAAATAAATAAATAAATGTAAAAAAGGAAATGTTTAAAGAAAGTATTACATTTGTGTGTGTGTGTGTGTGTGTGTGTGTGTGTGTGTGTCTGTGTGTGTAGGTTGGAGGGCAACTTACTGGAATCTGTTCTGTCCTTCCACCACGTGAGTCCAAGTCATTAGGCTTGTTGGCTAGTACCTTTATCCACAGAGCCATTTTAAAGGCCCTTGTTTGAAATAAAAGCTGGGTGGTGGTGGCACCTTTGGTCCCAGCACTCAAGAGGCAGAGGCAGGTGGATCTCTGAATTTGAGACCAGCCTGGTCTACAGAGTGAGTTCCAGGACAGCCAGGCTACACAGAGAAACCTGTAAAGTGCACTAGAAATTGAATCCAGGACTCCATGCCTGCCAGCCAAGCACTCTATCAGCTGAGCCGTGTCCCCACCCTGGTCAGCCATTCACACACCCCTCTGCGGTCACAGTGTGAAGTGGGTGAGTTTCAGGGTAAGGAAAGTTTCAGTGTCTCTTTGCTAGGTTTTGCGAGTAGGAGTTCAGTACCCTGACTCTGATGGTCCCCAGGTCACCATGGGAATTCTAGTATCTACTGCTCTTTAGGCCCTTACTGGGGCAAGGTCCCATTTTCTGTGTGTTTAGTTTGGTTATTGAGACTATGTAGCCCTCATTGATCTGAACTGTGATATGGACCATGCCAGCTTCCAATTCATAGAGATCCTCCTGCCTCTGCTTCTGTCTCTCGCGTGCTGGGATTCAGGGCATGTGCCATCACGGCCAGCCGCAGCAAGCCCATGAGCAAGGACACTATGATGCTGTGTTACCCAGATTCTGCTCAGAGAGGAGGGCTCAGCTCTTTTCTCTACAGCTGCTCAATACTTTTCATGGCCATGGAGGCTGCCACCTGGCTTCAGGGCAGCCATGCCAAGGGGCTTACAGAGATGGCATGTACTCCCTGCTCCTTAGTTTCTCATGCCCCACACCTGCTCCTTACCCTCTTTGGAGTAAGGGTCGAAAAGGGCAAGTTCGGCGTCAGAGAGGAAACCTCGGGCTGGGGAGCTGGATGCTTCCTCAGTGCTGCCACAGCTGAAGAGAAGATCCAAGGCCTCCTGGGCAGGACTAGACGGCAGGGGATCCACTGAGGAGAGACCAGGGGAACATCAATGCCTGCACCTACTGCTTCTCAGCTCTCAAAACAGAATCTCTGTCTTGAGTAATCCTTGTAGCAACCATGGGTACAGACAAGGCCACTATTAGGTTTGGGTGTATTTGACAGATTAGCAAACCGCAGTCCAAAAAGAAAAATGACCTGCCCAGAGGTGTCCCCCAGGAGAGTGGTAGAACTGCCCACCCCATACTTCTCCCTCATGGGGAGGAACCTGATGTATACCTGGCACATCCAACTCCTCCTGGCCCCTCCTTTCTGCAGGCAGTGGCTGGAGGAGCCGGGTCTCATCAGGAGGTGGTGTGGGGATGAGAGGGGGTGGCAGGATGCGCAGGTCCCTGGACACCTCAGAGGGCCTCGTTACTTCCCCACCCTGCAGGAGACAAAGTCCAGCAGAGGAGAGGAGTCAGGGGTGCAGCTGCCAGGGAGGGAAGCTGAACAGGCACTAGGGAAGTGGGGAGAGCAGATGGATTTACCCGGAAAAACTCCTTGAGCTGGGGGCTGTTGTTGAGCGCAGGGATGGGTACTGTGAAGCGCAGCAGGTCCTCCGCACCCTTGCGCCTCTCTTCAATCACAGAGGCTTCAAACCGCCCTGCAGATCCCGGGACAAGAGAGCAGCAGTGATCATGGGGGCTTCTGGGGAGAAGCCCAATGTCCTGGCTCTGCCTAAGAAGTGCTAAGCAGCCTGCTGGAGTCTCCATTCTCCCACTAATCTCTCGCTCCTCCTGCAGGCATCATCCTCCCTGTTCATTCTTTCTCCAGATGTGTAATGAGCACCTGCTTCCTGCTGGCTTCAAAAGGTTAGCGAGAGAAACGAGTTCCCTGTTCCCAAGGGTATCATACCACAGATAAGGAGGCAAGGCATGTGAGTTCGTCTGTTTTTAAAGACAATGTCTCATTATATAGCTCTGGCTTCTGGCTAGCCTGGAACTTGCTATGCAGACCTCAAATTCAGAAATCTATCTGAGTTTGTGCTATTATGTCTGGCAAGAAAGGCCTTTTGAGCCAGGTGGTGGTGGCACACGCCTTTAATCTCAGCACTCAGGAGGCAGGGACAGGTGGATCTCTGTGAGTCTGAGACCAGCCTGGTCTACAAAGCAAGTGCCAGGACAGGCTCCAAAACTACAGAGAAACCCAGTCTTTGAAAAACAAAAACAAAAACAAAAGCAAAAAACAAACAAAAATAGGTCATTTGAGGAGGCTTAGATGTAATCAGGAGAAAAGAAAAGTTCAAAGAAGGGAGGCAACTTGCCTAAGGTCACAAAGCAAAAGGCTGTTACACTGCTGGGCACAGTGCCCACACACCTGTCATCCCTGTACTTGGGAGGCTGAGATGGGAGGACCATTAGAACGTCAAGGCTAGCCTGGGCAACATTTGAGAACTTGCTTCAAAAAAGCAGGAAAAAAAAAACTGGGTGTGGTGGGGCATACCTTTGATCCCAGTAGAAGTTCCACAACAGCCAGGGCTACAGAGAGAAACCCTGTCTCAAAAAACCAACCAACCAAGCAAACGAACAAACAAAACCCAAAAGCTACAGGCAGAATAATCTAACTCCCACAGTCAGTGTGCTGGGAGCATGACCTGCACCCACCTCAGTCTTCATGATGGTCTCCTCGGCCTGGTATGACCTGCCA